ATGCCGGGCGATGGCCGAGTCTTTGCCAAAGCAGAATTGGTTTGGCCAAGTTGCCCCTGCAGAATCCCGAAGATTGTAAATAATTGGTTTACAACTCGAATTTTATAAACCATGAAGTAAATTCAGTTATCTTTGACTTTTCATCACAGTAGAAGCACCGACCAAAAAAAGTAGCCGGCGGTTGCCAACGCGATCTGAGCCTTTACTGGCAAACATGGAAATTGTGTAATCCGGCACCCCCCCAAAAAAGATTGCAACCGAATTCATATTTTTGAGAATTGAACTTTCCTACCCTCTGGTAAACTAACAACTATGGACAATCACCATTTTCAATGGGTAAATCAACCGTTTCTATGGTCACTTTCAATAGCAAACTGTTAAATTTCCATCTTAACTTGGGGTTACTTAGGCTAATCTATAGCAGGACTGAAAGCTGGAGACTTTTTTTGGGACGACTGAAGCTGGATGGCCGACGCCGAGGTGATGCTCATGGGCTCCATCGGTTTTCAGATGTTGATGTGCCTTGGAGACGAATGCAGTATCGCCCGCGCCGACGCCGACGACATGTCCGAACATCAAAAAACACTGTGTTTTGTGGGACAAAATGCACATGTCCATGATCATGGCTTTCATCTTGCAACGCACAGCTTAGCTACTTGTGCGTTGAATGTACAACAACAACAACAACAACGACGACAAAAAACAACAACAACAGCAGGAGCAGCAACAACAACAGCATCATCATCATCATCATCATCAACATCAACATCATCATCAGCATCATCACCGTCAGCATCATCAGCGTCATCATCATCATCATCATCGTCATCATCATCATCATCACCATCAACATCAACATCATCATCAGCATCATCACCGTCAGCATCATCAGCGTCATCATCATCATCATCATCATCGTCATCATCATCATCATCAGCATCAGCATCGTCATCATCATCATCATCATTTTCATCTTCATCTTCATCATTATATGTAAAGTTTAACGGGGGTGGGAATTGATATTCCTAATCCCCTTGTTGATCTTCCCAATTGAATGTAAAGTTCAATGGAGGTGGGAATTTATATTCCTAATGCCCTTGTTGATCTTCCCAATCGAATGTAAAGTTTAACGGGGGTGAGATTTTATATTCCTTCAAAATCCCTAAGAAGTTGTGTGGGCGAACTGGGCGGTTTGCGCGTATCGTTACTGTATATGTATACAATATACATAAACATATATTACAATATAATCGAACAGTGTATGATATGATAATACATGATATTTATATACGTATATTTATCATATAGTATACTTTAGTATAACATGGCATGGTATATTTTAGTACAATATCAAATACTAATACACAATATGAAACAGTGTAATATAATATACGATAGTGGAATAGAATAAATTGTAGTAAAATACAATATATATAATATATACATATATATATATATCATGAACTATTATGATATATTATGATATACTATGATGTAATATGATAACATGATATATGATATAAGATATATATATATATAGAATATATATATATATATATCATTGATGAAACAATACTTCGATACATAATATATAATATATTATACATCTTTTAGTATATATCATATATAATCAAATATATTTCGAAACAAAATGTAGATCAATATACTTGATATACTATGCATTACATATTATTTAGCATATACTACATATTATAAAAGGAATATATAGTACATTTTTAACATGGCATATCACATATAATACATTCTCTACTATACAGTGTGTACTGTTTATATATTATATATATATAAGTATACAGTATATTCCTTACATGGGTTAAACTAACAGTTCGATGTGGACAACCAATGGTTTCCCTTAGAACATGATCTACAAATGGTGGGTTTTCCACATCTTTGATTGTTTACATGAGGGTATATCTGTGTCACACACACACACACACATATATATGTATATATGTATTTTTATATATAACCAAAACTTTGATATGTCGTTGTCTGTCAAACTGTTGGGAAAACCGCGAAACATTTTTCTGGAAGAACATTTTCCTCACCAAATAATAGACTGCGTTCGCGTTCGTAGCGGCATTTTCCTCCCAAATGTCCAAAATCGGTTCAACGCGAACACAGACTTTGGGAGGAAACTTTGTCCGAACTACGTGACTATGAGGTTGTCCCAGTGGGCGGACTTACATCCCCAATGATTTCCAACCGATGGAAATCATGTTGAGGTTCTATCTGGTGAATTGGCCGGATCGGGACATCCAAAGATATTCCTGGCAGGCCAGGATCTCGCATGATGTCACTGCAACTGAAGCAGAAAACATGGGAGTGTTTCATGCGATTTACCCATTTTCGATCAACCATGAAGGGAAGAAACAAATCCAACATGATCCAACATGTGGAGGATTCACTCACCCCTAAGCAGGATTTCAACATAGATATTTTCAGGAGCAAGATGTGGATTTTAGCATGCAAGGGAGTGATTTTAAGAATTAGGCAGACGCGATATTCTTTGTTCAGATCCCAGGGGAACAGACATGAACAGACCAATTTAGTTCACATTCCTATGTTTTGGGTAAAGCCAAGCGACCAAGTCCCACTGCGACTGCGTTCGCCTTCGTGGCAGGTCATTAGTCAAACGATTTCCATTTTCTGTGCGGTGTTGCTGTTTCAAGGCTGCAATGGCTGCTTGGCATTGGGGAGATTTTGGTCAGGAGATGGGACCGGGAACCACACATTCAAGTCGGCCATTTTCAAGTGTTAACCATATTCGTTTTTTTTTGGGGGGGTACCAACATGTCTTGGCCCAAATCATCCCAAGTCCAAAAGACCGATTAGGAGAAGTGGTTGATACGCAGATACTGTTGGCAGCTGGGTAAAAACTTATGTGTTGCAGAGTATTTTAGTGTACTGTAGCTATCTGTTTTGATGTGACCTTCGTCTCAGCTCTAAGGATTGGTGGAGGAGCGACTTGGTCCGACAGGAACATGCGACAGGAACTGCAGGGACAAAACAAGAACGGTTTATATACATCTTGTACTTTGACAAAACATCCTATATCTTATACGTATATATATATCTATATATCTATATATCTATATATCTATATATATATTTATATATCTATATATCTATATATATATATATATCTATATATATCTATATATATATATATCTATATATATATATATATGTATATATATATCTATATATATATATCTATATATATACACTGTATATCTATATATCTATATAAATATATATATATACTGTATATCTATATCTATATATATATATATATCTATATATATATATCTATATATATATATATCTGTATATATCTATATATATCTATATATATCTGTATATATCTATATATATCTATATATATCTATATATATATATATCTATACATATATATATCTATATATATATATCTACATATATCTAAATATATATATATATTTATATCTCTATATATCTATATATATATATCTATATATATATATATCTATCTATATATATATATCAAATCCTGGTTTCAGCCTCTTGGAACTAGTTTTGGGATCCCCATTTTAACCTGTGCTTGATAAGCTGCTTGATGTTGAGGATGTCCAGCCAGAGCACCCCAAATATTGCTGCTGACCTCCCTTGTTTGCTCGTTGTTATGCGGACATATGCCGGATTTCCTATGATGGTTTTTTACTCGTTGTGAAATCTTGTCATTTGCTACCAATTTCTGCCTGTGAGTGTTGGTTGCATGATGTTGCATGTCATGTCTTTTGGCAGTGGAGTGAAAACTACGCTAGCCTTTTGGCCGTTTTTTGATGTCTGCCATGTTAGCATATCTGGGATGGGGTGGGTGCCAATAAAGGTTTTTTTCTTTTGCGTTTTGATAGAAGCTGTTCGCATATCTGGGGTGGGGGTGGGGGGGCCAATAACGTACTTTTTCTCTTGCGTTTTGAAAGAATCACTTGTCGCTACTCGCCACCCTCTTAACTTGAACTTTCACATGCAACTTGCAAAATGCTCTTGATGTGAAGCAAGAGAGTGCGCTGGCGGAAGTACGTGATCCCTCATAAGAGTTTTTCCCGAAAACAAAATACGTGTAAATTCATGGACGAAGGCAAAAAGGTAAACATATGGGTGTGGGTCAAAACTGGGTACCCCAACAATTGGATGATTAAAACTAAAGATAGACTAAACATGACTAAAATCTGTGGTTCCTTGAATTTTGACCCATATCCATATATTTTGTTTCCCAAAATTTCATGTCGTGAGGGCGAATACCTCCCCGCCGGGATGTTTTCGCGATGATAGGCACCGTTCAAAATCCCATCAGCTACACTCATCTAAACTCTTTCTACTTCATTCAGCATATATCATCATATGGGTATGGATCAATACCTATTAATACCATTTTTAGGGGAATGAACATCCATTTACCAGCTATTTTGATGTTCACCAGGGGTACAAGGTTTTGACACACTGCCATATATCTCACCTCCACAACATTCCACAACTAAAACCCTTGATCTTCGCCAGGTGATTCATGGTGATTGCATCACTGAGGCGTTTGATTGAAGGAAGTTCGGACTGGATGGAGGCCACGCCGCACTTTCGACTGGGGGTCATTTTTGGAATGGTTGGTCCTGGTCCCCAGTTAAACCACGCATTTTTTTGGGGTGCGAGGGGGGGGTTAGGATGGTTAAACGAAGATCATATAAAACCTCATCAAGATATATCAGTGTGTTTACACACTCTGATCCCATTGTTTGCAAGTGTCCAATGACTTGACGCATCGCCATTTTGGCAGTGAAGATCCTCTGATGGTTAGTGCGGCCTCGGCCATGGCAAGACAGGTGGTGGTTGATATGGCGCAAATGCTCTTTTGGCTGGTGTGCATGTATCTTGAACAGCATGGATTCTGTTGGATTCTTTTTTAGAACCGTGGTGCCGTGGTGGTGATGATGCTGAGCATGATGCTGCTGATGATAACAATTGCTGACAGTTCAGGAGCACTTATAGTTTGATACTGTGCCAAAGGTTTGAAGGACAATAGCATGTTGGTTTACATGCAGTGCCAGAGGTAGTTCACTGGTCAACAGAGGCCATGGACCTTATGAAATTCAACACGATGGAACCCTGGGTCGGTTGATTTGAAATATTGTTACATTGTTGTTACATTGTTACATATTCCCATCCCCAACCTCTAAAAATGGGGTTTCTTCCAATTTGACGTCCATATTTCTGGTGAGCTGAAACTATCAATGGCTTCCAGTCACTCCCGTGCTTCATGGAGGTTCAGAACCGTTGACCAAGCGGCGAAGTGAAAAATCTGAGCTATGTCCCAGTGTGGGTTTCAATCTGGTTCGTTTGCTCTCCCACTGGTCCACTTTTGGGTGAATTCAGAATGCAGTTTTGTTATATATTATATATATGTATATGTTGTGTTATTGCAATTATATATCCCATCTCCACTTTAAGCAAAAGATAAAGGTCACAACTAGCTTCATATGGCTACGGATCAGAATGGATACCATACCGCTATCATTGCAATGGGTTGCTTCACTAAGGCAGATCGTTTTGGCCATCACCAGTGGTGCGTTGAATGAGATCCATGGCGCTGGAACAGTGGTTTGATTTGTTCTTTGGAAAGCCCCAGGATGGGAACAAGTGAATTATGCATACACATCTTCATATATATATATGTATGTATACATGTGTCTATGTATATATGTATATATGTATGTATATATATACACATGTATATACACGTAGGTAGAACTATATTGATATGTAATATACGTATACACCATGTACATCATGTTTGCGTACATACGTACATGTATATGCATATGTATGTTAATGTGTACATGTGTATACGCGTATATGTGTGTATTAAAGTGTTATATGTGTATACGCGTATACGTCTATATGGGTATGTGTATATGTGCATACGTGTATATTTAATATATGTAATGTTAACGTGCTATTGATAACACCCCCAAACATTAAAAGCATCAAAATAAAGTTTAGGCCAAACATTGGCCGGGGGTCGGAAAATTTTCCAGACCTATGTGGCGCCGAACAAATTGCCTAATTGAAAACAAATACACAAGTGGACTTTCTTTCCATTTTAGTTTTCCCAAATGTTGCCTAATTGAAAACGAATGGTTCAAATAGGAAAGGAATTGGGGAACGAATCCAACAAAAAAATAGACCCCTGAAATCCAAATCCTTTATTTAGTTCATTATTATTTAGATGTTAAGGGTCTTCAGGACTACCCCCTTTGCGCGATTGATTTTTTGCATTTTTTTTGAAAGGGTTTAGTAAGGAAAAAAACGGAAAAACACAGAGAAAAACGGAGGAAAAAAAAACGGGAAAAAACGGGTGGAAAAAAAAAGAAATAAAACGGAAAAAAAAACAAAAATCGGTCGGCGTACTCTATTATGGGGGGTTTATTAGCGGCATGTTGACATTATAAGTAGATGTAGATTTAGTTTGTAGATGTAGATGTATATGTCTTTTGTCATCTGTCATCTGCCATTTGTGATATGTCATTTGTCATCTGTGATCTGTGAATGTCATCTGTCATCTGCCATCTGTCATTTGTCATACGTGATAGGCGTGTGCAGTGTGTCAGTGTCATTTGTAATATGACTCTGACATATGTCATGTGTCATACGCCATGTGTCATATGTAGATGTATTTGCGTTTGTATAGCAATGTTTATATATATATATATTATGTGAGTACACATATATATATATATACATATTGCATGTGGACATGTAATACGCCTACATATAAATCAAGGTCTTCGACTCGCAAAGTCAATCCCAAATTGACCAGTGACCGGTTGCCCAGTTGACCATCGGTTGATGGTTCTATGGGTAAACTGATTGGTGAAAGGTAGCTGTTCTCAATTACGCAACTGGTTTTTCTTCTTAATGTGAGGACATATATAATATCATACCCTGCTATGGATTGATTGATTTTTGCAGCTTATCTATAAACAAAAATGACACTGCTCAAATGGTATTAAAATTTGGAATGCCTACTATCTATACCTCTATGTTGAAACGCCCCCACCCATTTAGTTATTTTCTTTGATATTGAAAGGGGTATGCCCAAAAACAAACTGATGTGTTTTGTCTTCAGCTTGGGCACTGTGTGCATGCGACCTCACCTAACATCACTGGACGGATGGGAATTGGATTGGGGTAGCTATCCCAAAATGGGTCCCACGAATGGCCCTTGAAGATATGAGTGTCGCATCTACAAAACACCTTGGGTATCACATGGTATCACTGTACCAAACTTTTCCCCCATCAAAAGACTTCCCCAGGCTCGTCTGCCACCTAAATTGCTTGACCCAAAACCAGTACCAAGAGAATCATTCCCTTTGAGGGTTTTCAATCATATGTTTGCTAGCAAGACACAGCAGCAGGATCTCAGCTCTTGACCTTAGCCTTTGCGTATCAGGCCCACCTCTGCAATCTTTTCCCTAAAAAAACACGAACCATGGGAGTGAGCCCAGTTCTTCTTGCAGATCTTGCACAAAACTCCATCATTGCCGGCTTTGTCCTCTCGATGTTTTGTGGTCAATGGATGCTGCGTTTCACGTTGTCTCAGGTCGTACAATTGCTTGATGGATCCCCAATGTTTGAAATATAGAAGATTATAGAAGAAGTTGAAACAAAAAACAAAAGGACAATTTTTCAATATATAATTATATATATATTGTGTTATTTTGCATTGTTATTAGTTTTACTGCTTGTTTACATATCCCTTATATTCCTAATATGCCTGTTGTTGAACCCCAGTCTTCGTGATTTCTAACCACATCGGGGCTCGGGACGAAGATCACCCAAAAATGCAACCAGATACCCAGGATCTTTGGTGGGGACGCGGACATGGAGAGAGTGGAACTCAATCTGAAAAGCTGGTTCCTTGTCAAAGGTGAAGCTCGCAAGAATTATATACATAATTACACATCATACATCGCAATATATATATAGAGTCACTAATATACACATATACATGTGATATAGTTCCACCATTGGTTGAAAGGAAAATCTAAAGGGTTCAAGGGAACTCCGATTTTTGGGACTAACAACAAGGGTTTACTGTTTCTTACTCTCACCAATCTATTGATATATTGAATACACGATAATATACGTATCTTTATAACTTTATGTACTGCATACATATTATGTATGCGCACAGTTTATTTGTGTGCATCTTCACATGTTTTGTACATGCATGTGTAGGGGGAAAAAACAAACCAGACACTGAATACCTTTGTGCATATATATATAATTATATGAACTAATGGGTATTACATGTAACATGTTGAGTGCATGTAACGTGTTGAGTATGTTAACACGAGCAGTCTTGTTTCAAACTGCATACTAAGCCACCATTAGCCACTGCGTGATCGCACTGTTTTTTGGTGCAGTGCAGCTCAGCACACAGAAAGCCTTGTATCATGTCATATTGTGTCGTACAGTTTCATTTTTCATCATATGATACCATGCCACAGCATATCACATCACAAGACATTGAATTGTTTACTGTCATTCTATTACATTCTGGCTTATTTTTCATGGCATCCCTGAATTATACTTCACTAGTTAACTATCAACATATACACACAACGTGCAAATACATACATTCCATCCCGTTCTATTCCATTCCATTACATTTGGGTAAATTATAACAATCTCACTGTGACCTCACTGGAATAAAGATTAGATTGCGCGGTAACTATCCCAAAATAGCCTCAATAAATTCAGGTCAGCGAATAATTGTAATTCATCCATTATATCCCCATATTATGTATATATATATATGTACATCCCCACAATAGTGTGCCCGGATGGCATTTTGGGGTATACATGGAGCGCCCGAAGGTCAGTCCTGTTTAGCCATGTGGCCGGCTTCGCGACGATCAATGCCTGGGGATCTCTGCAACAGACGCTGGGGAGTTAAAACGCTGGTGATATCATGGGCCCCATACGGCCGGTCAGGTGATATACTTCATAGTCTTGAATATTCTTTGAGATACCAAGCGGTGTTAGTGTTTGTTGCTTATTAATTACAATAATATGGTGATATACTTCATATAACCTAACGTTCTGAAAATATTGTTTGTTGGTACATGCCACATACAAAAAACGGTTATTTCATTATGATCCGCAAAATGTGTTTGACTACCCCCGAAGTCCATTGGTTTTTTGCATTGTTTTTTGCTAATGGATTTGTATGGCCATTAGCCATGGGAGGGTCTCTACCATTTTACCATGTTTATTGCAACACCCAGGCAAAACCTGGCAGTTGAAACAAGCTTCTCTGGAATTCAAGCTGCAACATATTGGTTCATATTAATGAATGGAGTGCAAATGATACGTTTTGAGGTTATTTGAGTTTACCACACAATGGGGAACTCTCTAAAGAGTTGCAATTTCAATTTCGATCATGCAGCAGTAGTTGTTTCTCACATTAGTTCTCCCAATATCTTCTTTCGCAAGGTTGGATTCTATTATATAATAGATGGGTTGTTTCATGGAGACACCTACGTAAAAATTGACGAAGGACGCGGATGCGTAGAATTTGGCCGAATTCCTCGATGTTTCGGCCAGGCCTCCAATGAGCCCAACAATTGTTCCCCTCCCTTCGTATCCTATATTAGAAGGGATTAAGTGCCAGGGGATATATTAATCCCATAGATAAATCAACTAATTAGATATAAGTGATTTATTCAGTATAATAGTGCCAGGGATTGAATATATCTATATGGTTTTTTCTGTAATAACTATACGTATATACCGTATATAGATTACTCAAAGTCTTAGCACTAGAGTGAAGCACAAGGGATTAAACATGATTCAAGTATAGTTAGTACACTTAGGAAAATATGTCAAGCTCTACTCCCACGATTCTTGGTTGTCGGTTGCTCAAATTTTTGGACCGATGAGCGGAACATCCAGCCTTTTCAGTGGGCTACGCCAGCCTTTCTTGTACGTTCTCCTATCCAAAGTGCCACAATTCCCAAGTTCCAAAGTACATGACTACTGTAATCATCTAAATAGAATCTCTTCTTTTTTATAGAACATGCTGAGTGAATAACAGATAATGACGACACCGGATTAATAACCCCCCCCTTATAGGTCAACTAGGTCAACAAGGTCCAGTGAGGGGGTCCAAAAACCGAACCCCCCAAATAATGTGACCATTCATTCATCCACAAACGATTATTATAAGATTCCTATGGGAAAAGATTGGAAAACCAATGATAAACCATCAGGTTCCTATGGAAAGATTAGGAAATGAATGGTAAACCATCAAATTCCTATGAGAAAATATAAGAAAACCTATGGTAAACCATGGGATTCCCATGGGAAAAGATAAGAAAACATATGTAATACCATCAGATTCCTATGAGAAAAGATAAGAAAACCTATGGTAAACCATGGGATTCCTTTGAGAAAAGATAAGAAAACCTATGGTAAAGCATCAAACTCCTATCGAAAGATTGAACAATTAGTGGTAAACCATCAGATTCCTCTGAGAAAATATAAGAAAACCTATGGTAAACCATCAGATTCCTATGAGAAAAGATACGAAAACATATATAATACCATCAGATTCCTATGAGAAAAGATAAGAAAACCCATGGTCAAGCATCAAATTCCTTTTGGAAAAGATTGGAAAATTAGTGCTAAACCATCAGATTCCTATGAGAAAAGATAAGAAAACATATGTAATAGAAAATATAAGAAAACATATGGTAAACCATCAAATTCCTATGGGGAAAGATTCGAAATTTAATGGTAAACCATCAGATTCCTATGAGAAAAGGTAAGAAAACCTATATAATACCATCAGATTCCTATGGGAAAAGATAAGAAAACCTATTGTAAGCCATCAGTTTCCTATAAGAAAACCTTTCTGGTAAACCATCAAAATCCTATGAGAAAAGATAGGAAAACTTATGGTAAACTATCAGATTATCCCATGGGAAAAGATAGGAAAACCAATGGTAAACCATCAGATTCCTATGAGAAAAGATTAGAAAAATATGTCAAGCCATCAGATTCCAATGAGGAAAAAAAGAAAACCATTGGTAAACCATAAGATTCCTATGGGGAAAGATTAGAAAACTAACGGTAAACCATCAATATTCGCATGAGGGAAGATGAGGAAGCCGCGGAAAAACCATCAGATTCCTATGGGAAAAGATTTGAAAACCAAAGGTAAACCATCAGATTCCTATGAGGGAACGAGGAAACCACGCAAAAGCCATCAGATTCCTACGGGAACAGATTTGAAAACCAGTGGCAAACCATCAGATTCCTATGGGGAAAGATTTGAAAATTAGTGGTAAACCATCAGATTCCTATCAGGGAACGTGAGGAATCCACGCAAAAACCATCAGACTCCTATGTGAAAAGATTAGACAGCTAATGGTAAACCATTAGATTCCTTTGGGGAAAGGTTAGAGAATCAATGGTAAACCATCAATATTCGTATGAGGGAAGATGAGGAAACCACGGAAAAACCATCAGATTCCTATGGGAAACGATTTGAAAACCAAAGGTAAACCATCAGATCCCTATGGGGAAAGATTAGAAAATTCATTGTAAACCATCAGATTCCTATGAGGGAACGAGGAAACCATGCAAAAACCATCAATTTCCTATGGGAACAGATTTGAAAACCAATGGCAAACCATCAGATTCCTATGGGAAAGATTTGAAAAATTAGCGATTCCTATGAGAAAAGGTTCCTATGAGAGAAAGAATAGAAATTAAATGGTAAACCATCAGAATCCCATGAGGGAATGAAAGAGAGTCAGTCACCTCTTCCCAACATGATGAGCCAACCCACAAAAAACCTCTGAAACCACTGTGTTTGGCAATAGTGCGGCTTCGACCTACTGAAAGCACAGCTCTTGCACTGAAAGAGAGCCACCTCTTCCCAACATGTGTTTGGCAATAGTGCGGCTTCGACCTAATGAAAGCACAGTTCTTGCAGTGAAAGAGAGTCACCTCTTCCCAACATGATGAGCCAACCCACAAAAAACCTCTGAAACCAGTGTGTTTGGCAATAGTGCGGCTTCGACGTACTGAAAGCACAGCTCTTGCAATGAAAGAGAGCCACCTCTTCCCAACATGATGAGCCAACCCACAAAAAACCTGACTCTGAAACCAGTGTGTTTGGCAATAGCGCGGCTTCGACCTAATGAAAGCACGCTCTTGCAATGAAAGAAAGCCACCGTGAAGTAATTAGAGGCAAAGTCTAGAAGCAGGCAAAGGTAGCTAACATAACAGCAAGACATTGGCAGAGAAAGAAGCACAACACACAAGCATTCAAGCCAGCTGTGTGCCACCCCCGGGCTGCAAGACGCACCCTCCGGGAATCGAACCCGGGTCAAGGGGCTCAAAGCCTATTCTACACCAATATGCCACAGGGG